CAAAAAGCGTCAAGAGGCCCCTCCCCACATCTTCTCCATCTCTGACAGCGCCTATCAGTTCATGTTAACTGGTGAGTGGCTCAACTCCTGAAAAGTGATTATACAATGAAAATTTCATATGAGGAATCACAGTGGCTGAGTTTTAGCATTCACTGGTGAGCAAATATCTGTGAGCCTTATTTCCTTCACAGCCATCATCAGTACCAGTGCAAATTACACATATTTTTGCACTTAGTTTTTCTAAATATCAAACCCATAACATATAGCCAAAGACACTGAAAGTGCTAAGAATAGTGATAGGTAAAGTGGTTCAGATGAAACAAGAATTCATTGAAACCCACACTGAAACTGACCCAAAACTTTGTCCAGCACTTGAATCTAAACCTGACCCAAAATTTCACACAAATCCTTTTTGATATTCTGGAAAGTTTGGTTAATTTTTCTAAAAAAATAACTGTTCTTTGTTCCTAGGTTTCAACCAGGCTTAGAACAAAAGTGTAAAATGCTTTGATAAAATGTTGATCTCATGGTATTTCCAGCATAGCTGGATTCAGAAACTATATGATCTCATGAAATTTCAGCTCCAAGAGGTTAGGATGAACTTGCAAACTTTTAGCTGTCTTTTAGTTAAGAGTATTGTTTATATAATCATTTGCCCTACAGAGATTTAAGTCACTTGTTCAGATTTCTGAATAATAAAATTTGATGAAAGGAAAATGTGTATAAGTTGGTCTGAAGTCCACGTATCCTGTGGTTCTGTCAATCCATGTGAATTTAACTCAAAACCTAAATATCATGGAATTGATACATTGATTGTTTGAGAGAGAGAGAGAGAGAGAGAGAAAACAGTTCATGAAAAAAATCAAAATTTGGAAGTAATTTCATTACAAACTGAAATGATTTTTAAAATATTGGTTTTGTTTTCTTCCTTTCTCTTTTTTTCCTTTTACCACTGGATGCAGTAGAATGGATGATGCTCATAGCTTTATTTTATCTTCACATTTTCATTTTGTTTTTTCCTTTTCCCACTTTGTAACTTTTAGAAACTTCCTCAACTCTGGAAACTTACAGAATAGGTAAAATTAAGAGAAGGGTAAGACTAGTGCTAAAATGAACAAAAAAGAAAAAGAAAACAGAAAAAGTGACCAGAAACCCCCCCCAACTCATTCTGGGCATAATTCATTCTACTGGCATTCAGTGACAAAAAAGAAAACAAAAGGGAAAAAAAAAGGATTTCCTAAAAACTCAAACATTTCCAATGCTGATTAAAAACAAAAATCTCAAGAAATCGGAAGCTACTAGAGAAAGTTTCTAGTTTTGAAAAAAGGCTAGTTTTTGTTGAAAAAAGTTTCAGATAAAAATGCTGACGATCTCATATTTACTTCAAACACATTTCAGTCAGTTCAACGTTACTCAGTAACTCTTTTAAAAGTCTTTTTGGTTCTGTCTCTTTCACAGATCGGGAGAATCAGTCGATCCTCATCACGTATGTATATTTCCCTGCCCTGGTTTTTGCTGGCTTTGCTATGTGCTGCAGGAAGAAACTCTTTGGTTATGTGTGTTCTTTCCTTCTCTGTTTGATTTGACAGCGGAGAATCTGGTGCTGGAAAGACTGTGAACACAAAGCGTGTCATCCAGTACTTTGCAACAATTGCAGCTAGTGGGGAGAAGAAGAAGGAAGAGCCAGGCAAAATGCACGTGAGTTGGTCACTAAAGATGGGATTAAATGCTCTTTTCTGAAACTGCCACGTATATACTGGTTTAAAACAACCTTAATTTGACAATAATTATTACTTTGTAGGGGACCCTTGAAGATCAAATCATCAGCGCCAACCCCCTGCTGGAGGCCTTTGGGAATGCCAAGACTGTGAGGAATGACAATTCCTCTCGTTTTGTAAGTCTTTTTTGTCAGAAATGCTCTTAGTTCTAGGCAAACATGAGGGTACGGTGTCTGCCACTCACTCAAGTGCAGTGATGGGACAATTTATGTTCATATAATTAGAATTTTTTATCATGTCTTTACTGGTTTTCAAACAAGGACAGATTAAACATACATATAAATAACAGAAATTATAGTAGAGAGACAAGGTGGATGAGGTAATATCTTTTATTGGACCAACTTCTGTTGGTGAGAGAGAGAAGCTTTCCAGCCACACAGAGCTCTTCTTCAGGTCTGGGAAGGGTACTCTGAGCATCACAGCTAAATGCAAGGTGGAACAGATTATTTAGTATAAGTAGTTAACACATATTGTAAGGGCCCATTCAAGGTAGAGTGCCCCATTAACACCTCTGCAGTCATAGGACAAAAATGGGGGTTAGTGGGTTACATATTGTTGTAATAAGCCATAAATCCAGAGTTTCTGTTCAGTCCACGGTTTTTAGTGTCTAGCAGAGTGATGAATTTAAGCTCCCAGGCTTTGGTTTCCTTTGAGATGAGCACTGAGAGGTCAGACATAGAGTGATCACTCTGTGAAAAGTGTTCACCCACAGGTGATAGAGTGTTTTTGTCTTTTATCATTTTCCTGTGAGTGTTCATTTGAGAGGTAGTGATTGTCTGGTTTCACCCACATTGTTGTTATTGGGGCAGTTAGTGCACAGAGCTGGGGCAGCAGACCTCAAGTGAACCACCCAATGACCACAAGTGAACCACCCAATGACCACAAGGTCTGAAGGCACCCAGCCAGGTTTATTGTCGACAAAGCACAGTATTGGTGCCCTATACTTGCTACAAGTACACTCAATGCATGTATGCCCGTGACAATGGATGCAGCTCAGTGAATGGCGGGACTTTCCATTCCCCCCTAGGCTGGCCAAAGACACTCCCTCTGAGACTCCATTTTATACACCAATACAAACAATTATGTATTGCCCCTCTGATGTGGTTAGATACTGCCCTCTGACATAGCTAACCACCACCTTGTACCTGTTGGTTCAATCAAAACATCTCTATCCATCATGCTGTCATCCTGACGTTATCTTTAGGATGGGTCAGCATATTCCTGTTATCTTGGTGAATGTGTTTGGTATCGAGGCGTTCTGGTACCACCTTCTGGAATGTGTTTGTGTGCATGGCCTGTGTGTAGCACTTCTTAGGAATGTGTGTTTCTGCAGTGTCAGCCCTGTTCTTACCAGATTATGTGAGCAGGGCCTGCCTCTGGCTTACAGCCTGACTTTGCTTGATATTAGCAAAACTTTGACCACTACTTTAGCCCAGGCCTCAGGTCTCATACCAGGCCTCTGATACAAGGGCTTATGTCTCATGCTCTTTTCCTACTACAACCCCCAGTTCAAGTCCCACTGCCATTGGATGAGGAGAAGGGATTTGAACAGTATCTACCACCTCTCAGGGGAGAGCCCTAACCATTTATTCTGATGTGGGGCTCCTTCAGTCTCTCCTGCTGAAGCTGTCTCATTCTGGATCAATAATTAAAGAGTCATTGGAGTGGGACCCTGGGTCTCCCCTCCTTTCATGTGAGTGCAGTAATCACCCAGCTATGGAGTCATTCTCATGCTTCTGCTCTCTGTGTGGGGGAGACTGAAGTGAGAGAATGACTCTATAGATCTGGTGGTTCGCGCACTCACCCGGGAGGTGGGAGACCCAGGATCCAGTCCTCCTGTTCTAGTGACTCTTTATTTTTATCCAGAGTGCAACAGCGACAACAGGAGAGACTGACGGAGCCCCACATCAGAAGAGTCCACAGCCCAGTGGTTAACATACTCATCTGAACGGAGGTACTTGTTCAAAACCCTTCTCCCCTCAGGCAGAGGTGGGTCTCCTACATCCCAGGTGAGCACCCTAACCACTGGGCTAAAGATTATGAGGGAAGTCCTTCATCCCTGGCTGCTCTTTGTTAACTCATCTGAGGGGCCTGATCCAGGAGGAGTCCTCTGAGCATGCCTGCCGGATCAGGCCCCCCATGCGATTTAAGCAGCTGAATGCCTGTCTTCCCCTGGTACATCAATTGTTCTGGGGCTTAGGCAGGAGATTGGCACCTATGGCTAGAGGGAGGCAGAAGTGCGCACACCCAGAGGCAAGAACATAGATGACGGGGAACTTTTACTGCAAAAACATAGGTGTCAAGGGAGTTTAGGCACCGACAGGGTTCAGCAGGAGTTTTGTGCGTCACAATGCTGATTAAACCAGGACTTAAGTGCCTAAAACAGGGACTTTGGCGTCTGGATACTTTTGTGCTTTCAGGCCTTCCTTTCTCCCGTGCATTCAACTTATGTGAACTGTACAATTGTGGCTATATTGGTCACTATGGATGTTAATAATTTAGCATAGGTCTTTACCTAAATATTTAGTAGTGACATAGGCTAAAAATTTCACTACCTATTAATAAAATACATCTAGGGTGAAGCCTTGGCCTCTCTGAAGTAAAAGGCAAAATTCCCATTGATTTCAATTGGGCCAGGATTTCATCCCTTGTCTGCCTCTGAGGGTTTTAAATTAAATGACTTTTTTTTTCCTTTAAAGGGCAAATTCATCAGAATCCACTTTGGTACCACAGGGAAACTGGCTTCTGCTGACATTGAAACATGTAAGGGACCTCCCTTTAAGGGTCACAATTCCTCTGTCTCTCTTTCTTTCTCATTGTGTTTTCTTGTGGCTAATTGTA